TAAAAGGACTCTCTAATTTTACCTGCCACTGGAGCTACACCAACCCTATCACAGACATATTTGTTTCCCATTTTATCTGTAAGTGTCACTCCACCAATCCACCTAAGCATTTTCATCTCGACAATACTTAACTTATTTTTATGCTTCTCTTTTAAAGGCTGACATTTTGCGCCATAGATCATTGCGGGTCTTACCACCATCTTATAATATTTTTTTTCAGTCTAAGGAGAACTTTTCTATCACACAATAGGTCCAAAGCATTCCTCCACTTTAAACAACCAACTTGAATTCTACCAACAATAACCTCATCTATATCATCTTCTCTTTGAACAATAGACTCGATATATCTAAAACATTGACACCTTTCAATGATTCGATCACCCATAGTTACAACTCTGCCACTAGAGCTACTACAACTAAAATTACATTCCAGGTATTCAGTTTTAGTTCTACTAAAATGAAGGCCGTTAAACTCCAATGTAGACATCCATAATTCAAGTTTTTTGTTGAAATATTGTAATAATTTTATCCGTAAGAAGTATATCATTGGCAAAAAGCATACACCAAGAAACATCCTCTTGTAATTGTCCAATAATTATTAGTGTACAAGTCATGCTAGAGAGAGTAAATTTAGGTTTTGGTTTACTGGACACAACCGGTATTAGCTAAACCAAAAATTAGAGGAATAAAACTTCATCTTATATCTCCTAAAATACAAGTGTATGACTCATCAAGATATTAACTTTGAGTTTTGTTATTTCAAACCATGCATAAAAGGGCCAAACCAGGGATGCCTCATTCTAGCACTTTAATTTTATTAAATGCCAAAAAAAAAAAAAAAGGTTTTCGTAACTCAAATCCACCTCTACGGCTAAAATTGAAGATGTCTGGTTTTGGTAACCCAAACCCAACTCTAAGAATAAAATTAAGGAAATAAAGAGGGGTCTCCACTACACACAAGCATATGGCTCACAGTACTGAGGAATATAATAATAACTCTGATTTTGAATATTAGAAATCAAACTGACAAGAAAATCCCTTTCATTAACCATATCAGTGATGCTCTCTGAGGATAGTTTCGAGCTTAGGAATCCCGAACCGAGTCGAATCAACCAAAACCAGATGAAGAAATCATGAGAGCTGCCATCTCGTCTGTTCAAGTCGAAAGAGTCTCACTATGAAGAAATACTTAAAATAAAAGTCATAAGAGTTGGTATTCCATACTCAATATAAGAGTCAAACTTAGATATGATAAAAAAAATAGTGCAAATTATTTGCTAATCATAAACGACTTTACTATGGAAGCAAAAAACCCATGAAAAATGGTGTCAGGCTTTAACAATTGAGTTCAATTTAAAAATCAATCAGAATCTTAAGTTTCGGTAACCTTGGCTTAGCTAATATTAGGTAAATAAGGGATGCCGAGTTCTAACTCACAGAAATGGTTCGAGTACAAATTTGAAATAAAAATTTAGTTTTGGTGACCAACACTTGGCCCATCCTATGATCAATTCAACAATCGATAAAAAAACTTAGAATTTGGTATCCATGACCCAACCGATATTAGCTAAATCAAGAATGTCAGGCTCTAACTCCCTGACATGATTTAAGTACCAAAAAAAAAAAAAGAAATTAGGTTTTGGTGATCCGGACTTGACCAAAATTGACCCAACTAGGAATCATAATAAGAGCATTAACATTCCACCTCTAAATTTGAAAGATTAGACTTTTGCGATAGAGGGAATGTTTGTCAAAGTGTGTGATCATTTTATTTCCTTATGTATTCCCCTAAGCTAAGGCACTACTCACATAGGAGAAAGACATAACCTCCTTCTCTTTGTAGAGAGGAATTGATCTTTTGAGGTTTGGTAACCTGGACCCAGCCAAAAATTAGCTAAACTAGGAATAAATAATCTTCTTTAAGTTACTTATCTTGTTTCTACATAACAAAATTAGCTTCTTAAATGCATCCTTTAACAAAGAATAATGCCATTAAAAAATCACAAATTCTAACAGTTTGAAACTAGCCAAAGGCAAAGAAGATACACAACTAAGAGAAGTGTGTGCTTTCATCCTATTAACTTTTAAAGGTTGGATCAATGCTACTAAGGGAATATTTGACACATTGTGAGATCATCTTATGTCCTGAGATCTTGGCAACCATGCTTTAATGGTGCCGTTTTTAAGAAGATGAGCAAGTTGCTAAAAGAACGACGAGTTCACATCATATCAAACATATGTGCAAATATACGAAATAAGAAAAATACAAAAGAATTTATAGAAGATCATATTTTTAATTTCTTGAAATCCGCTTACTAGTACATGAGATGGCACCATGATTATAAAATATAAATAATCCAAGAAAATATAATACACATGCATGAAACTCATCCGTAGTATTTCTTCAAATACCTATCATTGATTGAGGGCACTAGATGGCTACCATCTACATCAGCAAATATGTAGACTCCACCTTCAAAGAAATTTTTTTATCATGAATGATCCTTCCAATGTTAGCTCTAATTCATCATATCCGTATCAGTTAGAAATGATGGGGCACCTCAAAACAAGTATGAGTTCTCCAAATGTAAAAGTCGTGGGTCTTATCAGCCTATTGTGTGCTCAAATTATACGTGCTTGGTATAGTTCTAGATTCTACTAGGCTTGCAATCTATGGTCATCCAAACTACGAAGCTATTTTAGAACAAGGCGAGAATTGTTGTCTGCAAAGAGTTTACGATGTACAGTCACAAACAATGATGACAATACAACATCTAAAGGAAGGCCTGCTTCAGCATCAAAGGTCGATGTATAGGGTGTAGCTCCTCCCTTGAAGGTACATTAAGTCATATGATACACCAACAACACACTTGGGAGTAGATCATGCCACTCTTTTTTTAGAAGGGAGGGATTTCTTAATTAGGATCATTGTTAATTTATTAAAGGCTTCAACTAAATTATTTTCCATTGGAAAATAAATTGTGACAAAAAAGTAAATCTTAGAGTTTTAATATGTCAATCCATTGTCAGAAATAATCCAATGAAGTACTCTAAAGTGGCGTACCATATGCCACATGAGAAAATGAAAGACATCCTCAGCTTTCATCTCCTTTATGGGTATAACATCTGTCCACTCAAAAAAAGTATTCAACAACTGCCAAGATAAATATGTATCCTCTATAGCTCCTATATAATCGATATCCTAAGCCTCAAAGGGCCAAGACACAACAGTTGGATGCAAGACATTTGGGGTTTTGTGTAACACTAGGCAAAAAAATTAGCATTAGTGGAATTGTCTAGAGCACTCAAGATAATATTGATTCATGGAAGGCCAATAATGCTCAATTCTCTTAATTTTAAGCTTAATTTTTAGGTTGGATTGATGTGATTCATAAATAACCTCATGTACATCTCTCGTGACTTTATAAGTCTCTTCATTGTCAATAATACAGAGATACATTTGATGAAGCAAGTGTTAGTACAACATACATTCATGAATGATAATGCTCTCTTTTGGATCTGAGTTGTCAAAGAGTGATAATCTAAGAGCCTTACTCTGATTAAATAGTCAATAAGAACTTGCCACCAATCATGAATTTGACTGACATAAACAATTGCAACTCTGCCCTGCATGCTTGATGGTAACATTATAGGTATATCTAAGTATGCTAGCGACTTGACCCTTCAATTTTGGATTAGAGCTATCATGGGATATCCATAGGGGCAAAACAATTCATTTTCAAACTAGCAAAGGCATATGTCTTATCATTCATCAACCATGATATTCTAATAAAGGTCACGTCAGAAATGTGGGTCATCAAAGATAGGGCCCAATCATTATAGCTCAAAAGCCCATGTTTTAGTACCCTACAGGCACCATTACTCGACTTCACAAACTAAGAAACTTCATAGATCTTGATTCTCTTAACGCTCATCCAAAGAAAAAGCTCTATTCTTAGGATTAGAATTTCATACTTTGCCTCATTTATAGCTTGAGATTCTATCAAGCTATATGAATAGCGTAGGATACCACACTTAAGAGATATGAATAGAGGTTGACCCTAATTTAACACGAGTGATGGCTCACAAACAATTTTCCTTAAAGAAAGAAGAGCCATCAAAATATATCTCCCATTTTTGTAGCCATCTAACTCTAACATATGCTCATCCAAAAACTCATTGCTAAGGGGCAAAACTACCGGTATAGAATGAGAAGCTAAGAAATCTACCATGGCTTGTTCCTTGATGACTCATTGTGACAAGTATGTGATGTCAAACTGAGGGAGGATCATAGCCATTTGGGCAATCATCCTGCCAAAGTGGGATGGTTCGTCAAATAATGCAATGGATTTACCCTTGAGATCTAACTAATGCAATGACTCACAACGAGAGAGGAGGGGGAACCACTGGGGCAGAGATGTGAGAGAGGGAAAAGGGAGAGGGATAGAGAGAATGAACTACTAGGACATAGAAGAGACCTAAATGCGAGGAGGGGCAACATGGGTAATATGTTAGCGATAAAATGCAGGCCGCATGGTCGAGCCCACGACCACATTTTAACAAAAAATTTTCAAATAAGTTGTCACACCACACAAAACAAAACATCAAATATGACATTTTCTCATTGCACCACATCATTTAAGCTGCCCCAAACGTAGCTGAGAGAGCCGACTGCAGATGGCCGAGTTCAGTAGGCTCTTCGGACAATCTTATCACCTGGATTTTGATCATACATCTTGAAAGCTAAATTTTTAAATAATTAGATAGCAACATTTTCATAGCTTTTATCTTAATAATTTTCGCTCATATATATATAATCCAAGAAAATATCATTTTAGCGGTCCCCGCATAACTGCGCGCCTAATAATTATCCCACCCCATGGTTTATTTCGAAGAACTACAAATCGGACGGTCTAGAAAAAAGAACAACATCCGACACTGTGGCCTCCCCGCCTTTTTCTCTGCACCCCTCATTCATCCTCCGCTCTACTTCTTCGTCTCGGAACCCTATAATTTTGTCGGATAACGAAATCATCGATCAGCTCTGTGCTCCACGGCATTCGAATCTTGCTCTCATTCGCAAACAATGGAGGAGGAGTGCTGCTCGACGCACCTCATCGACGCCGACGGAGAGTTTAACGTTTCTGGTTTGGAAAATTTCATAAAAACGGCAAGGCTTGGCGAGTGCGGCCTCTCCTACGCAGTCGTCGCGATTATGGGACCCCAGAGCAGCGGTGAGTGCCGAAAGTAATCCGCATTGTTTTATTCCTATAATCCTCGTTTTTGTAACGACTTAATTCTCGTCGGGGAATTTTTTTCTATGGAAGATCGATTTGGGTTTTGGTCCTGTTTGATCTCAGTGTTATCTCGAAGCACATGCAATCAACTATTAATCGTTTCTTGTTTTAATCGGTATTAAGTCTGGAAAGATCAAGTGCAAAGTAGGTTGAAGCAATGGTGATTGATCAAGTCTTTTCTTGTTTTTTTTTTTATTTTTTATGGGAGATTTCTTTAGGTAGCCAACGGGATCAATTTTATTTATGACACTAATGGCATAACTTTTAAAATGAACTGACGAATAAATAGCACTTGTTTTTTAAGTTAATATTGCAATACTGAAGATGTTAGCATGACAAACATATTTGTACTATCTGATACTAATGCTGATTTTTCATGATTTCAAATAGTTGAGATAAATTTAATGATAATAGAATTAGTCCTGATAGATAAACCCTAGGAAGGAAAATCGGTTTTCCTGTGATAATATGAATGAAAATAGTATAAAATGATTTGCAAAAAAAGTTTAACACTCAACTAGAATGAAAAATGATGAATAATAAGGCAGCTCCAGATAGTTTGCATAAGGCAATGGTCATACACTAAGGACCTAGTTAACTCTCTTTAAGAATGCCAAAAAGAGCAATAGGATCAGCTTAGAAGAAACAATACTAACATTAATTATGCACAAATATAATAAATACTAATAATAAAAATAATTGCATGGTCAAAAACACAAAATTTATTTCGATTAATTAATAATGATATACATCCACTAGGCAAGATGATTAATTATCCACTATCAAATATTAATGAAAGAATAAAAAAATAAGAGGAATATAAAAAAAAAACCTAATCCTTTTATGAGAAAACTAATAGATAGGTGAGTTGATAAAATCTCATAAAGAATTAGGAGAATAAAAAGAGATTGAAAAGAAGAATTCCTCTTACCAAAATATTAATGACAAGAAAACATAGGATGCCCATCTTTCTTTTAAACCATCACCAAGAAAATGCATCGATGTTGAGAACCTTGCCTCTATGCTGTAATCGAGAAGCTACAAGTTATTAGTTTGACTCAGTAAACCTACGTCTTCTTGAGTAAGAAGAAACATTCATTTCTTACTTGCTTCATGAGCAACACAAGATCAATTATATTGCCTACTCACTTGTTCTAGTGCTTTGTTATCACTGACTAGTCACTGGCTTGTAATTGCTAAACAAGTTTCAATAGTCTAATAACTAAGTAAGAAATCACATGGGAGTGGAGATTCAATGAGAGTAAACTATAAAAGAACCTTTATGATTTTTTATAATCTTACAATCCTTCTTCCTTATATCATCCTATATATCAACAAAAATAAAGTGGATGACTTAATTAGTGCTCAAATCAATGAAACCTCTTCCTTATTTAAATCTCGAAAGGTATTAATAGTTGCACAAACCAATAAAGTTTAGACATTGCCTCAACATAAGGTTGTAAATCACCTTCGTAATTATGTTAGTAGAACTATACCCTTTGCAATTCTTCTAAATTTAAACTGTCATATTTGATCTTCTATTTAATGAAGGGGCATTCAACATCTCTAATCTTAATTATCTCATGATGCATCTAGTCTTCGGCTAGTTGAACATCACTCTAATTGTTAACAAATCATTGAGTTATCATAATTCATGTTGCAGTAAAGCCCTTAGCCAGTCTTGTACCTTGCATTTTCTTTTTCAAATCATCAAGTAGAAGAGTAGACTTCACTTCTATCTTTGATGTGCAATCTTTCTAATACAATAATGTGGCAACAATGTGCTCATTAGCGGGCAATAGAGTTTATAAAAAGATCAAAATTTTATCTTCCTCATCAATGTTTATTTAAAGATTTGCCAAATCCAAAAAAAAAAAAAAAGTATTGGCATCCAAATTCACTTACAGTAATGTGACATCCTTCATTTCAAATGCAATATGTTGCTTCAACTATAGATTATTGGAGAGCGACCTGATAATTACGACTCTTCACACACATCATGTGAGGCACTTTGATCTACTATATTTTGAAGAATCTAACATCTCAAATTGAGGATAATTGAACTAAGGGTTATTTGATCTATCTCCTCCTTTTCCATATCCGTGTTAATTAAAGAATGCTTCTCATTCAAAGCCTTAAGTAATCCTTTTTTGGATAAAGAAGCTCTCATTTGCATTCTTCAAATGTTGAAATCATCGTTCCCTTCAAATTAATATTTAGCAGTGTTGATTGAAGGATCCGATTCACTTGATGACTATCTTTCAGGTATAATCATGTTGTCATACTAATTTGTTGTAGCATATGAGCTCAAAATGACTCTCATTAAGACCATCAAAGGACCTTGGAGAAATAAAACTAGTGCTACACACAAAGAGAATAAGAACAAGAAAAGCAGCCATGCTAATAATAACTTTTGAGAGGTGCATCTAGCATGTGCTCAAAATCGACCTGTTATTTGCTCTTTTATCAAGTTCTCTGTGTGACTGTTGCTTACGTTTTTTGGGATAATAACTTGTAATTGTGTAGAGAGAATAATTTTTCTACTTTTATCTGAACAATCTCTAGATTGAAACCAGTATGTTGTTAGTTTTGATATTTGTAAATCATATAATTATGCTTTCAGAGCCAAGGTTTGCAGTGATAATTGCTCCTGTAGTACAGTTAAGGACAAAACTCAGCATCAGGGGAATATGAATAGGGAAATCCATTGAATTGTGTAGTTGTAAAATGCATCTTGAAGTTTAAAATAAGGCTTTGATTTGAAACTTCTATAGGAACAAATTTCTATCAATTTATCTGATTGGTAGGATAATTGTTGTTTTGATTTTTTTTTATTGACAATTTTCATTTTATATTTTTGCATATGGTTTTTAAATGGGACAATTCTGTTTGAACAGGGAAAAGCACCTTACTTAACAAACTTTTTGGAACCAATTTTAGGGAGATGGATGCTTTCAGGGGAAGGTACAACTCCCAGCTTATTTATAAATATAAATTGTGTTGGATATGTTTTATGTTTTACTCAACATTTTTTTCTATTATTATTATTTTATTTAAATAACTTTTTCTGAATCAGGAGTCAAACCACGAAAGGCATCTGGATTGCAAAGAGCCTTAGCATCGAGCCTTGTACAATTGTGCTGGACTTAGAAGGCACTGATGGGAGGGAAGAGGTGAATCAACAGTTTATCATTACAGTCTAGGTTTGCTAAAGATATATTGAATTTATTCATTTTTAGTATATCGTTATGGAAGCTGTGTTATCCAAGATTAAAATAGTTGTTTTATTTTGTTTCATGAAAAGCTAGTACATAAATGAAAGAGTTACAAAAGCAATCTCAAAAGAAAAGTAAAAAACACAAAAAAGCAGCAATTTAAAGAGGTGCAATTAAATAAAAACACAAATTGGTAGCATATTTATTAAATATGGATTTATTTGTCTTATGTTGTGCTATCCGCATGAGGATGCAGGGTTGTTTCATTTGTCATTTTAGCAGAGGCAGAATGCTGGGCATTGACTTCGCATCTCATTCTAAAATGACCTATCTGAATGCGCTAATAGAGTCAGATTCTTAGGCATTAAATTGCTTCTTGTTCATGAAATTTATAGTGCATTCCATATGTCAATAATATGGAAGTAAAATTTGGTTGCACTCAAGTTCTCATCGATTTTACATGATTGTGAGTGAAACTTTAGGAACATAAATAAACATTTTGCCTTCCTTATTATAGTATTGCGGTCAGTAGTAGGAAGGCTGGTATTTGATTGATATTTCAGCATTTTGCTACATATTTTAATGTAGCCGAAATATCTCATTAATTACTTGATATTACATATTGGGGTTCAGGATGATACAACATTTGAGAAGCAAAGTGCTCTTTTTGCTCTGGCGGTTTCTGACATTGTTCTCATTAACATGTGAGCAACTGAATTCAGTTTTCTTATGAACTCTATGTTCATTTTAAGAATTTTAAAGAGACTTTTCAATGAGTTTTTAGTGTCTATTCTATTTTTTGTAGTGAATTTTTTTCTGTTCAGGTGGTGCCATGACATTGGCCGGGAACAAGCTGCTAACATGCCACTTCTAAAGACAGTTTTTCAGGTGTCTTGAATTAATTAATTATTTTTCTCATATTCCTTAAACTTTAATGATTTGAGAAAAATTTTCATGTAGGTCATGATGCATTTGTTTTGCCCTAGAAAGACAACGTTATTATTTGTTATACGTGACAAAACAAAGGTTTGAATCTTTATTTTTTTCATTCTGGACTCATAAACACACATGAAAAACTTAATTATTTACTACTACTTCATTGTAGATTTATTGTTTCTTATTTTTTCTTTAAGCTTTTTCTTTTTTAGCATCGTCTATCTTTTGAGAATATGAGATATTTTGCTATTTTTTTTTTTCATTGTACAGACTCCATTGGAACACTTAGAACCAGTTCTGAGGGAGGACATTCAAAGGGTATGCTTTTTCTTCTTTTTCTTTACTCTCTAAATCAATTATGTCTATTTCATCTCCTACTTATTTTATGCCACCAATGTTAATTATTTTCAGATTTGGGATTCTGTTGCTAAGCCTGATGCACACAAAGATACTGCTTTAAGTGAATTCTTTAACGTGAGTTTTCTGTTATGTTACACAGACATGTCATATAAATTCTTTTATACTGTTTATTGGTCCATAGGTTGAGGTCACAGCTTTGCTTAGTTTTGAAGAGAAAGAAGAACAATTCACAGAACAGGTAATTTGCAGCAAATAATTATTATAATACCAACTTCGTTATAAACTATCCTCTCCAGTGCATGGATGAGTTTGATATAATTAATATCCCATACAGTGCTGTTGATCTATATGGTTGTCAAGGGTTCATTTTAATCCTAGAGTTTATATAAGTGCTAAATTAGTCATATTATTTTAATGAGAGCTAAAATCATCGATTTCATCTCATATTTAAATAGTATGAGACTAAATTGACACCTTTATAAATTCTGGGACTAAAATGAGCCACTGAAAAACTCATAGGACCATTTTGACACTTTTCTCTTTTGCTTTTATATGTTGTACTAAATATATTTATTATGATAATCAAGGTCATTCTGGATAACCTGCTTGTTATTTCTTCTTTTAATTAGGTTGAACTGTTGAGGAACCGGTTTATGCATTCAATTGCACCTGGAGGCCTTGCTGGTGACAGAAGAGGCGTTGTTCCTGCTTCTGGATTTACTTTTAGCGCACAACAAATTTGGAAAGTTATAAAAGAAAATAAGGACCTTGATCTTCCTGCTCACAAGGTATTATTCCTTAGGGTTTTGTCATTGGCTATGATATTTCTAGTTCTTTTTGTTTAGACTTTGCTTTCATTATTATTAGGTAATGGTTGCTACAGTTCGGTGTGAAGAGATTGCAAATGAAAAACTTAGTTTTTTGACATCTGATGAGTTTAGCAGACATCTATAGTTTGTATTATGTGTTTTTTTTAAGTGAAGCACATAATTATTATGTATTTACATGTCTATCATTTAAAGTTTGATATTTAAATTTATAACACTTTGATGTTATAAATCTATGCATAAAAAGGTGTATTTCAATTTAAAATGGTTAACAATAGTGATATTTTTTTATGTGATCGTAAGGATTTGAGTGATATGCATGTAAATATGATTGTTAAGATGTGAGATACGAAAATACACAAGAATCGTGTGCTATGTATGTAAATGTCCCTTTTTTATCTTTCCAGCAACATTGTACTCAGGAAAAACTTTCTTATAATTTTGCTTCAGCGCTGGCTTGAATTGAGTGAAGCAGTTCTTTGTGGTCCCGTGCCAGGTTTTGGTAAAAAACTAACTTCCCTTTTGGATGCTCATCTTTCAGAGTAAGTTCGACTACCTTCTAGCTTTATTATCCAATTAATTATAAACTTGAGGTTATGAGTTTTCTCTTTATCAGAAGCTATTTGTGGATATGATGTATAAGCTTTGGATAATCTAATTGTTCCATACTTTTAAAGCTCATTGGTCTTCATTATTGAGGAGTTCATTATGGAAATATTTAGAATTGGGGAGGCAATTATAATATGAAGTTTGTTATGCGGCTTTATTGACTGTTGCCTTTTTAGTCGATTTGGTTAGATTGGTCAGGTAGAAGGTATCTTCTATCACTATTAAAACTTTAGTAGTTATATTGGGGAAGCTATTGTGTGTCATAAATTGTGCAATGCAAATATTTGGGGTTTTAAAGAGTTATGTTGATTGACTATCCGAAAAGCATTCTTAAACTGAGATTAGATAAAAACAACCGGAGCATTTAGCTTATGAACTTTGTATGCATGTGACCTTAATTGATTGAATTTATATTATCGGCCTTCTGGATTGTGAAGGATACTTTATAGGGCATGCACCATATGCATTTTGTAATTTTGGTTAAAGGAGATATTTCATGCTTATGAATGAGGAACACTTGGATAGCATTATCTGTGTGTTTACCTCCATGTTTGTTCCACAAGTGAACTAGATCAAATGAAATGACGATGATAGACAATAGGCACATCTAAAAATTAATTGCTCAGAGAATCTTAATTCATTTCATTCATGACTTGGGTTTATATCAAGTCTTACTATATTATTACAAATAAATCTCTAAACTTCCTCTATTTACAAACATGACCATAAATTAGATATAAATCTCAACACTCCCCCTCAAGATGGGCTAAAGATATTCAATAAACCCATCTTGTCACATAACCTAGATAAATCTAATGAGATAAGTCGTTTTGTGAGGAAATCAACCACTTGCTCTCTAGTGGCCACCATTGTTTTAAAAGGCGTGGGAGTTGGACAGAGCATTTTAGCTGTTACGGGACGAGGCGTAGGCCCCAAACTGCCCCACACATAAAAAAAAGTATAAATATTAAGTGACAAAAAATAAACTAGTTATGCTCAATAAAAAAAAAATTATTAAGAGACTTCAAAAGAACTCATACTCGTTCAATTTCAAAACAAGTCTTATAAGATTAAAATCCTTAAGATATTAATATAAATTCATCACAAAAGCAGAATCATATAAAAGAAGCAGACATGTTTGAGCCAAAAAATAAAATTGTGATTAATTGATTTCAATCCTTAAATGTTATTCATTTTTCAAATTCATTCTCAAAATCTTCTTTTTCTTCACCAATAGTTTGTATCCAAATCAGAACTAGATCTTTCATATTTTCAACATTCATTGTCTACTTCACTAAAGTCATCATCATGCTCAAGCTCAGGTGGATTCACAATTTGTTTCTCCTTAACATTATTGCCTAAATTATAAAAACAAACAAAATGTCATTCATAAATATTTAGGATCATTTTTCTATAAGAAAATAAGAATGCCTAGTTATGTAAAGTATAATTAAATGTAAATATGAAACTTGTTCTTACATTCATCTTCCTTTTCATATGAGAATATGTTATAAAAATATCATTTCTTGTTATATTATTTCGTGATTTTTCATTTGCATTCATTGTGGGCACATTTCTGATTACATCAACTTCAAATGCTTGTTCTTCTTCATTCATCTAAGAAGGTTCTTGTGGAAGTACTTGATATTTTTCTACAATTCACTCATTATCAAAGTCTACATCTTTTATTAATATTAGATCAAAGTCTTGTTTTCTTCGTCCACTTCTTTCTCTCAATCTAATATTATATCTTACATAGTATTCAACCTTTTGTATTCCAATCTGTTCTTCTTAGTATAAATCTATGATAGAAAAATTATTTTTAAGAGGTGATTATAAAAATAAATAATAATAATTTTAAGAAATAAAAAAGTTATTACCAATTCAAATGTGTTCCAATATTCTTTCACAACCTGTTGAATGCAGGTGAGGCTAAGAACTCGAATAATAAAATTCATTAATTCTGGTCTTTTCCCACCAAACTTATTTACCAATTAGTAGAAGATCTTAACTTTTTTGAGTTCATAACAACTATACTCCTAAAGTCCCCTCTTAAGTTACAAGTCTAGTTGATTATCAACTCTAAGACGATTTTTATAATCCAACATTTTTTTCCATACAAGCAATTAACCATTCTTTCACTTCATCATTATAAAAAATTATTCTCAAAGCAAAATTGAGAGTTTAAATAATAACCAGCCGCATGTAGTGCTTTATAAAGTTGAACTTCCCATCTTGCTTCAATTTTTCTTCAAATAGGTCCATACTTCTTTTTATTATGCTCTCAATTAAAAGTAATTTTTTCTTTTGTTGAATCCATGAACTCGTAAATATAACCCATGATTGTCCTTTCTTCTAAGTCGGCCTCTCTTAAAACATTTACAAGCGGTACAACACTTTTAATATAATAAGCAAGTTGACCCCAAAAAATGTAGATCAAATATAATAACAACTCAAGATTTTATATTTTTTGTCTTCTTAGATTGTTGATTAGAACACCAAACTTATGAGGAGAACATTGCCTAAAGTGGTTGCTTCTGCTTGTAAATGCTTTGAAGGGTTAAATATATCGTACCAAACCATGTGATGACTAGACGAACGAGTTCTCTCTCTTTGTAAAAGATCTCATCAAACAAAGACCTCATATGCGCTCATAAATAAATTTAACAACTTATTTTACTTTTGCAAGTTTGGTTTCGTGGATCTTCAACTTTCCAATATCTTATAATGTTATATCAATACAATGTTTTACACAAGGTGTCCAATAAATATGTTGTCTTTTTTCATCATTTTTTTTACCTACATTTACATAATTTGAGTCATTATCTGTTATAATTTGCAGCACATTTTTTCTCACTTTCTCAATCACGTCATCTAAATAAGTGAATATTAACTCACCTTTTTTATAGCAGTAAAAACATCCACTGATGTAAGGAAAAAAGTCTCAACAAGAATGTTCACAAGAAAGTTAATCAAAGTTTTATTTTTTCAATTTATCCAACTATCTCACATAATGGAACACCTATATTTTCTCCATACTTCCTTATGCTCCTCTAACATCTTATTGATTATAACAGTTTCATCTTGAGTAACCAAGTTTTTAATTTATGCATTGTAGGAGTAAAATCAGGTCTGAAGTTCGCAACTGCTTTAAACATAGACATATAATATGGGTTATTGATAACATTAATTATCAATCCGACTAAGTAGCAAAAACTATCAATTGTCCTACATGCTTATTTTCTTTCATTTTTTTTTAATTTGAAATTTAGAGTAAAATTCATTGCTTGTGTTGTGATGAAAGAATCCATTGGACCTCTAACTCTAGGTTGCCTCTGAGAGGAGACAAATAATGATGAACCTGTAGGATTTTGAACTTTACAAACATTTGTTGTATTGCTTATAATGTCACTTAATATACTGTCAGATTGTGCTTTGACTTTTGCATCTTCTAATTTTTTCTTGCATTTCTCTTGAACTTCAATAAAGGCTTTAGTGCATTGTGTAATGCTCTTATGTGCGCCGACAAGATGTTGCTTCATCTTGTTTATTGTTCCACTACACACTTAATGACAAAACTTACTCATTGGGTGTGCTTGTTGTATAACGTTATGCAAAGTTCTTCTTGCTAGTGTGAATACTATTGATCACACAATCCCCCCCTCTTCCACATTTAAAAAAAATCAGATCAAATCTACCTCTAGCAAACTTGAAAAAGTTTTTTTATAAGTTAATGGATTGTGTGACCTTTAGCAAATTGCAAACATGAAAAAAAATTATTAAATGGGCATAGAGACATTGTGACTGTTTGCCCCCACAAGTGTTTTGGGACATTTATCACAATTATCATGCTTCGGGTTACCTCTAGAAGGTATATATTCTTGCTATTTGTTACTCCATTTTGTATCGGTATGTATGGACATATGGTTTGATGTTGTATCTCTTGTGCTGATAAGTATTCTCTAAACTCCTTTTTGGTATATTTTGTCCTGTTATCAAACCTCGATACATTAATTGTTGCACCATATTGAGTTTGGATTGCCTCGTGGAACTCTTTAAATCAAGCAAATACATCACTCTTACATTTAATTAGATATAACCAAGTGACACGAGAAAACAATCAATAAAAATCACAAAATATCAATGACCATTCTTCAAACTTATAAAACAAGATCTTCAAACATCAGAATGTATATCAAATCAAAAACACGAACTTCTCTTCCCAGAACTGATATAAGAGCTCTTAATAAGCTTACCAAACTCACAAACATCACATACAAGTTTTCATTTTTTTTTATCTTTTCATACAATAACAAATACAAAGGAGTCAATGAATTAAAACAAGAGTCTCATAAATTTGTGATGTAGCAATAACACATCCTACATATTCCTCCCAAATCCTCTTATTCCATCAATCTCTATCATGATGTCAAGGCTGAGTCTATCATCTCTCTATCCAAGTACCAAAACCTACTATATCACGTTCTAGTCCCAAGCATTCAACCCTTCCCTCTCTCTTAAAAGATCACCTTAGGAATATTAAATGAAACAACACATTTTAGTTGGAGAATAAAAACATTAATGGATAAAATGTTCACTGGAAAGGAATGAGCATGCAACATATTAGACAAAGTTATAGAATCGGTACACCTCACTATACCCTTACCAACTACAGGTTGTATTGTACCATCAACAGTTTTGATGCTCTCCGTAACTGTTAGTTTAATATTGGAGAACTCTCTAGCAATATCTGCTGCATGTCGAGATGCACCAAAATCTACTATCCATTATGGTGATCATGTGGTGGAAATATCGGCTAGAGCATGTGTACCACGAGTACCTTTTTCAGGCTGAGCATAAGTAGCAATAATATCCCTTAATTACGACAAGGTGGTGCATCCTCAGACCTATCACATGTTGTTTTCCGCTTCCTCTTCAACATCTCCAAAAACTTATCATTCTTATTGGTAAAGACTAGACCTTTGTCTCCCTCGTCCTATACTATTATTAGATTTGCCCTGTAGCCCCCTTTTCTACCTCTTCGACAACTAAGACCACAATAACGACCTCCAAATTGTCCACATTCACTTGTCTTTCTCTTCTTAGGTGGCCTAAGATTGACATTGCTCGGATGACTTACTTTACCATAGTTATAGCACTTGCGAGTCTCTTCTTGGACACCTGTCATACCTGTGCTTGAGGTAGCTAAGGCTGATCGCGTACCTGGAAGTCCACTCAGCTCAAAGTGTAGCCTCATGTGACTCTCCTCTTGTATCATTGCAGCAATGACCTCATCTGATGAAGGGATTGTCGCGTAGGCTAGGAGGATTGATCCCCTCTAATCAAGGGCCGGGTTCAAATGAGCTAGAAACTGCATAGTCCTCATTTGCGCAAAGATCTCCCTCTTCTTGCACCCTATATCACCACAACTCAACATCGGTGAGAAGTGATCAAGGTCTAGTCACAACCACTCCAGATCTATAGACTACTGAATCGATCTATCACCCTGTACCATTGTTTCTATCTCACGCTGAATTTGGAATACCCTTATGCGGTTCTCAACTCCAACATAAATCTTCTTAAGCTTCACCTGGATGTCCCTCACTTTTCGAATGACATATATTGATGACGTAATCGATGAAACCATTGAGTTGAGTAACTAGATGTAAAGCAAGGCATGTGTGATCCTCCACTCATTCCCATTGGCACTATCACTCTTTTGCTCGACCTCAGTCAGATATTTTTCTAATCTCTTTTCTACTAGAACAGCCTTGATCTTATGTGACTGACTCTGATATATGGTTGTTCCATTAAGTTCGATCTATCTTCACCTGCGTCGGAGCACGTGTTGAAGTTGTGACTCCCGTCGAGACGTTAGCTCTATGTATGAGCTCAACCAAGGCCTTCAGAACTTCAGGATCTATCTTCCATAGAAGCTCCAATCATTTCTCTCTCACACTATCTCCATCTCTTGACATCCTTAACCACAATGATCCAAGTCTAATCACACAAATCACACACAAATTTGATCCTTCAATTCTGTACTCCCTGCCAGGTCTGCGATCACATCATGGACTCCCTGCCAGGTCTGCGATCACGTCGTGGCCTCCTTGGTTAGCTCTAATTGCGAGGGTTGATGTCGTGATCTTGTTGTTCCCTTCTCAATTAGCTCTAATCTTGATTGTATCGTGAGGGTTCATGCTGCAATTCTGTCATTGTCGTCCCAGTTAGCTTTAATTTGGACTGTATCGCGAGGTTTCACGTCGCGATCCTGTCATTGTGCTTCCAATTAGCTCTAATCATGATTGCTTCGTGAGGACGAGGCGGAAGGAAGAGGAAAATGGGAGTTCCGGGTTTCTGTACGCTTATCCCGACTAGTCAGATCAAGCTGCACCGGACCATAAAGAAATAATTGCTTTGAAAAATTTTGTAAATTTCATTAATGACTTGGGCTTATATAGGGACTTACAACATTTTTACAAATAAATCCCTGTACTTCCTCTATATACAACAGGACAATAAATTAGATATAAATCTCAACATCTCATGAAGCCAGTTCGATAGCCATCAACAAAAGTAAAAATTGTGTGAATATCATTGATATCATAAAACAAAGTACACAAACAAGCTTGGAATGTTGAACTTGCCTAATAATGATATTCACATTGTCTGTCACGTCTTCCAATTTGAAGATGAAAATCTTACAAAAAAATTCACATTTACCACTTATTTTGTGAAACTAATTGCGACAATGCATTTGGAACACTGAAACTAACTAGCGAAGGCTTCCTACATCAAATTGCTCACAATGATAAAAATTGACATTGGATGTGGCGCAATGCAACGTGGATACAAATTGCTTTGATTGCAATTAGAAGTGTCTTAGATGTCACTTTTTCATAAAACAAATTACGTCAGTGCGACTGGAGCATTAAGATTATTAAGAAAGAGCATTCACGATATTTTGTGCTTTAAAAAACTATGACTAAGAAGGATATTTGCTTTTAGTGTCTACCTTTTATAAATACCAGCATCTGCTGTGAAGAGAAATGCCATCATATGTAAATCTTTGTATGATATATTGTTTCTTGTAATGCTTATTCCCTTGATATTAAATAAACTATAATGAACATCTTATTAGTATGATTATCATTAATCATTTTGTTTCCATTCTTTCATTTTAGGTGGTTAAAATTTTAGTTTACTTTATTCTTCTACCTTACAGTTATTTTTGTTTTATAGATATGATATGGAGGCTGTCTATTTTGACGAAGGTGTTAGAACTGCAAAAAGACAACAATTGGAATCAAGATTATTGCAAGTAAGATGTTCCTCTAATGCCCAAAAACCAAATCCCTTTGAACAATTAGATGATAAGTGGTTCACATTTTATACCAGTGACAATTATGATCTGCATTATTAAGTGAGAATTTTTTCTCAGTTTCTTAAATAGTTTTGACAAACCATTTAGTGTCTATGAAGGTGCAGTTCTTTGACTTCAATTTTGTTTGTCACGCTTATGATAATGTGGTTTTGCACACCTCATAAGAAAAATTTTTGAACTAGTCATGAGTTTTATTTACTGTTTTTCCTATCTTTCTATATTTGACCTCAACATTTACTAAATCCATTTTTTCTAAAACATGAAATATTGAAAGAAGTTCCAAAATAATCTCTTTTATACCTGTACTACTATGGCAGCCAAAGATTTCACTAAAAATATCATCTCTGAAATCGGACTCTTTTGGGTTTGAACAGTGATGTTTGGAAAAAGGGTGAAGTACGAAACAGTAGTTTCAATCTATTCAGTTGAATATTCAGCCAAGTTTATGGCCAAAAGTTCAGCCAATATAACAGTGTTCAAACAAATATTTGAGTTGGTTAGACTTGGGTTGAGCCCAACCCAAGTTGCCATTTGATCTAAATTATTTTTCTGAACAAAAACATTATTTATGTGTATATATGCTATACTAAATTTAGATAACTTGAATTAGAATGATAAGAATTAGTTGACATAATGATTAGAAGAAGAATAGATATGAGGTATTTGCTAGAAGTTCTAGTAGAGTTTGTAAATATATCTTCTGCAGATTTGGTATCAGAGGAAGGAAATTCAAAAGAGTATTAATGAAAATAAATATTCTGTTAAAAAATGAATAAAAATATTATTGAGATATAAATAATTGTCAGGAAGTTAGAAATCTTGAAAAGGAAGTAATAAGTTAAGCCAAAGATATAGATATGCATATATATTAGAAACCTTTTTCTTATCAATAATAAGGCAAGCACAAGTCTAGTTACCGCTTTTTGCCAGACTTATGGATAGGTATATATTAAACCAATGCAGGGTGCAAGAGAAATTTTTCTTGACAAAATCATTAGGTTTTGAAGTTCTTTTTTTTAAGTGATAAGGTAGAAGAAATGATATATAGATATACTTCTTATCAATTTTTTGGTAAGACAGATATTTGAAGTAAAAGTTAGAACACATAAATACAGAGTGGCCAGGAAGATTAAAATTGATACATGGGCTCAAAAGAATAAGATGAGATGTATTGAGAGTTGAAAGAGTAGAGTGGCCAGGAAGATTAAAATTGATACATGGGCTCAAAAGAATAAGATGAGATGTATTGAGAGTTTAAAGAGTGTCTCCAGAAGAGCTAAGGAGCTATTTATTCCTATCTATTAATATGCTTATGGAAGAATGTTTTTGAAAGTTTTGACTAGTTCCCTTTGGCTCATGATTGTTGGTTGAACACAAACAAAATCATTTCTTGCCATCCTTCAATAAATATGTAGATATAGCTTTAGAAGTGAACCACATTTTAAGCTGTTTTTTTTTTTTTCACTATTATAATATACTCAGCTCATTTGCATTCCTTTTCAAGTTTGTTCGCTCTGTAAAATTCCACATTGATAGTTATAATTCCAAATCGTGGTATTTCATTTTATATAATAAGCCTTTAGGTGTTTTTTGTTATTCAGTATTTAAAAGCTCCCCTGATTCTTATAATTGGGATACTTTATTTGCGTAATGGTGTAATATTATTTGTATAATCCAGAAATTATATAATCTCTTGATAAATTAGATAAATATCTTGACAAAAGTTCCTCATAATGTTTTCCTTTTGCAGCTTGTCCATCCTGCTTTTCTTGCAATGTTGGGACATCTACGTTCCAAATCTCTTGCTAAATTTAAATCTGACTTGGAAAAGTCATCGAAGGGTGGAAGAGGATTTGCAGCATCTGTCCGTGATTGTGCTCAATATTCTTTGCTTCAATTTGATCAAGAATGTTCAGGTTCTCTTTTGAACAGTTATTCTGATTCCTAAATATAAAAAATGATAGGAACATAGCTCATCAAATATCAACTCTTATGAGAAGAGTGTCAAAATAGTTGTTGACTCTTTTTAGAGGTTCATTTTGGTGCGAGTTTATAAAAGTGTCAAATTAGTTCCCGGATTTTTTTAATCGGAGCTAATATAGGCCATCTTGGGACTATTTCAGCCCATACTAAAAATGTCTGAGAACTAATTTGGCATTTTGTAGACTCAAGGACTAAAATGACCCAGGTAAATAGTGAGGGGGCTATTTGGACACTTTAATCCAACTCTTATAACCACTTGCCTCAGTACATGTGGATTATTTTTAATTTACTTGCAATGCACATGTAAACTTGATGGCTGTCTTCTTTTTCTTTATACTATAGATGCGGCAATTAAGCAAGCTGATTGGGATGCGTCGAGAGTTCGGGAGAAACTTCAACGTGATATCGAGGCTCATGCAACATTCATAGAAAGTACAAAGTTGTCAGAATTGAGGTCTTTTTATGAGGTGCATCATATTTTCTTCATGTGAAAGTTTACATAAGATCATATTTATTTTTAGGGATAGTTACATATCTCACACCTAAACTTTCATATTTACACACATGACACTTTAATTTCATTTTTAAAAATTGGTAACAGGATTATTTCTTATATGATATTAAAGATTTGAGTGCTATGTGTGTAAATATGAAAGTTTGTGTGAGATATGTAAATAAATAAGAATTGGGTGCTATGCATGTAAATGCCCCATTTAAAAGCCTTTTCGTTTTTGTTTAACTAAAGTGGAAGGATACCTTCTTTCCATTGGATGATAGTTTTAAGGCACCAGGAGTTTATTTGGCTTTGCAGAAGCAAATAACAGAAGAACTTGCTGAACCTGTCGAGTCTCTTTTCGATGCTGCCGGACAACATACTTGGGCATCAATTAGAAAACTTTTCAACCAAGTAACAAACAAAGCTCTCTTTCAGTTATTCACCTCTCTTTCAGGATTTGAGTTGGACCAGGTTAACTCTGAAAAGATGAAGATGAATCTCAAGCAACATGCAAGAGAGGTGGTGGTAAAGAAATCTAGAGAAGAAGCAGGAAAGGTTTTGATCCATATGAAAGATAGGTATTTATACGTTTATTGGGCTTCATAATATTGTGGCCTGCTTTCATTTTATCCATCTTTCTATTATATCTTCCAGGTTCTCAAATGTGTTCAGCCATGACAACGACTCCATGCCGAGGGTATGGACAGGGAAGGAAGATATTCGGAAGATCACGAAGGAAGCTAATGCTGTGGTATATAATCGTTATATTTCTTTTTTATCGAGTAAAGTATCAAAATAGTAACTATATATATGGGAGGGTCATTTTAGTCTCATTATATATAAAAGTGCCAAAATAGTCTAGACTCTTTAAATTGGGATTGAAATTGTTCTCCGCGGGACTATTTTTCCCCATATTAAAAGATTCTAGGACTAAATTAACATTTTTATAGACTTCAAGACTAAAATGACCCCCCCTACAAAGAGGCAAAGTACTTGTTGAACTCAGATTTGTCTGTGAATCACACTCAAGGAATAAAACGTCAAAAGAGAGTGAGAAAGAGAGAGAAGTTTCCAGGAGTCTTCTCTATGCTAAGTTCCCATCCTCCAAGAAAAGGTGCCCCTTTTACATTTAATGCTCCTTTGATTTATAGAGGGCTAGAATTTTTATGAAATGACACTTGTACCTTTGATTTTCTCTGATCGTTGAATTTTGATCAGTTGTTTCTAGTGCAGTCAACTCTTAATTGATTGGTCTCTAGTGAGTCATCTCCTTGTTGATCGGCCTTCGGCTGGTTAGACTCTGAGCTAATTGGCCTCGAAAAGACCGTCCTCTGATCAGTCGGCCTTTAATCGACCTACTTTTGATCAGTTCCTCACTCATCAGTCTTTGATCGGTCACCTGCTTGATCGGTCTCTAATCGATCTCTTGTTCGATCTATTCTGATTTTTTGCCTGCTCAATCAGCCTCTAAAGAGCCGCCCGCTTGATCTGTCTCTGACTATTGCTCAATTATTCTTTCTTTGAATACTTCTGCATCGATTGAGATTCTTCTTTGACACATGCTTTTTCTCGAATTGCCGAATCCACAGAAGATTCGGTCACTAACATTTTTTATGTATATATTTTAGTTCCTCGATTGTCCCGTATCTTAGAAGTTATGTTGCGATAGGAACAAGAGAATTAAAAGTAATAAAAAATAAGTTATTATTAAATGATTTCAATGATTGATACTTCCTTGATTTTTTAGCTATTGGTTGTTATAAATAGGACAGAGCGACACCTCTCTAAATTTGCTTAGTTCATGCTATCCTCTCGCTTTGCTAGATGCCTTCTCGCGCGCTTTCGCTCTACCTTTTTTTGACGGCTTTCTTCTGCTTTTTTGGGGCTCGTAATGGATAGGCTTACTAGGTCCCAAACTGACATGCTGTATGAGATCCAGATCTGCAAGATGTTCGCAGAGGAGAAAAGGCAGGAAGTTTCTTGAGGGCAATGGAGGAAGAAAATTGTGACCAAAAGGTTGGCCTCATCTTCGAGTTAGATGGGCTCTTTTGGGATAATCTCAATAGATGCTCAGCTTGTCGTTGTGGCCCAAAACTCGACCGTTCAACATGTCACTGCGACACATGGTCTGACCGAGGGCCAAATCACCCAAAAAAACGTCTGGGGTTCTCCTGTTGCAACAAGGAGTTAATTCGGAGGAGCCGATAATGTCAAAAATGATGAGGGCCCTAGGTGCTTTAGGGCCCTTATAGGTTAATGGCTTCAACCTTTGCCTGAACCTCTAATCTTTTGGGTTTTTCATGTTGCAGGTGCTTCCTCAACCCGAATTGAACAAAACTACGATCGTGTCAAAACGTTGAGGGGGAGGCAGGAGATGTCAGCCTGTCAACAAAGATGCAAGAGTTGACCGTTTTGGAGTTCTCCTATCTCTTTGAGAAGCGCATGGGGACATTACTGAAGAAGTTCGAGCGGGCAGAAAGATGCTGACCGATTGCCTGAACAAACATTGAATGCTCTTTTGCGCGCGAGGCTGACATACAACAAAGTTCGGAGACCCATGCCTTATTTTTTCGCTTAACAAAGTTGGAAGAGGAGGTTTTTGCGATGAAGCAGACGATGGTCTCTCTGCATCAAGAGCTCATAGATGCAAGAGAGGTCCTAGCTTTCTCGTGCTCAAGCTGGGTCAGTTAGATTTGGGGCTGAGTTCTTGTTTGGAAGGTTGCTTCGGTTGGGTCATGTCTCACTGAGGTTGCCTCGAAACCCCTGTGTAAGGTACTTCATTCAGAGCTGAGTCGGGGCAAGGGTTTATTGTAATAATTTTCTTTTATTGAAATAATAAGTTTCATTTGGTTTTTCCATTTTCGTGCTCTTCTTTCATTGGTTAATCTTTCGAACTTGTGATGGTCATTTCTCATTCTATTCTCCCTGCAACGATTGAGATTCTCTTTGACCTTATAAAAAAAGCTTTTGATTGCGACATACGCACTCTTTTTGTCATTTCCTCAGTCTCTCTCCAGCTGATACATGGCTCCCTGCTTTTCTCTGATAGATTTTGCGATTGTTGTCCTTTCCGACCCGTTAAAGATGACTAAGGACGACGTTAGAGAATATCATGAGATCCATGTCTTCAACTCTTTCATCGGCCACTGTGCTATCGACGAGGAGAGCGTGAACGCCCTAAACAAGGACGAGTTTGTGATTTTTAGTGATCAGTTTTGGTTTGGCTTCCGATTTCGTTGTGTGAAGAGAGTTGTGTGTTATTTTTAGCCTCTACGGGGTCATCCCAACGCGGTCAATCCCGAGCTCGATCGTCGCGATAATGAAATTTGTGATTTTTACGCGTTGAATGGGGATCACGTGGTCGCGTAAGTGTCGACCGCCAAATCGAGTTTAGAATTCAAAAAGGTTGTTTTGATTTAATTTAATATACTTATAAATTTGACTTTTTTAGAAAAATATTATTTTAATTTTAAAAAGTAATGTTTTAATTTTTTAAAAAGCGAGACCAAATCAATCTCATATAAATAATAGTTTAAATAAACGAGCATAACACTACAAGTGACATATCTATCCCGAGGAATAAACATATCACTTATCCATGAGACTCGATTAAATAAACTACAGAGATTATGACATCCGTTTAGTCTGCGAACCATTTATATAAGCCGACAAATTCTCCTACCTAATATGAAAGATTACCTGGGTTCTTAAAGTTCAACAAACCTCTAAAGTTAATTACATCTTAAATGACCGAAGTCACTTAAGAAAACTCTCGATTTAGATAAAGATAAAAAAATATTGTCTTCAAGAATTTCGAAAGATAGGACTTTTCAAAGATCAGACCAAGGAGTATCAAATGGGAGAGACTCAACTTTAAAACATTGTTCTGGAACCCAAAGAAAGAGAGACTAGGGGTTGTCACAGACCCTGAGGAGAAACTCAATGACTTCCCAAGCTATCATATGGTTTAACTTCAGTTTCGAGAAGAGAATTGTTGAATGTTTCATCCTGCCATTTATTATTATTTAGGGCTTACATTTGTATGACACAATCATACAAATAACCTGAAAGACAGAGGGATTTATGTCGTGACAAACGATAACCTTGGAATCCTAAAACGATTTAGGGCTTAAATTGCACAACATGATTGTGCAAATGTCTAAAGATGAAGTGAAGATTTATGCTGCACTAGGCAAATGACATCGAAGTCCTATGGTTTGTTATTTAATTTCAGGGAAAAGAGATGCGCTGCTGTAGATTCTCATGCTGTTGTAGACCCACAGAGCTAGCTCCGAGCTCCGAGCTCCTCGATGAAGTAGCAATCCTAAGGTCTAAAGGTTCAAATGTTTAAATGACAAGTTTCAGTTCAAAATGGGGGGGGGGGGGGGGGGAGAGCGACACCGGTTAGGATCTCACAGTTCCCTCGTTCCGGTACCACTATTTTCTTTTTAATTTACTTAACTTAAATGAGTTGTTAAACCTATTTAAACCGAGGAGATTTTTTTAGCAACCGTGAGTGACCTCATCAGAGGGACTCCCGTAAATTCAAATGGACGTATTACGAAGTTATATTATTATTAATTTTTATTTTTATTTTGAAAATGTTGTTTAATTTTGAAAAAAAAATGTTGATTGATTTTGGAAAAGTTATTTTTGTTTTGATGTTGCATGTCGCATGCAAATTTGTTTCAAGTTTTGCAAAACAAAGTAAACATATACAAGTAAGAAAGTACTGTAAAGAAAATAAAATTTGCATTACAAAATGTAAATGCGTGTCTGTCATTTTCTCGCTCTCTCGCTAAAAGATTAGCTTTTGCAATATCTATGATTTTGCAAGAATAGGAAAACAAGAAGAGCAGCTGCTGGTGTAGCTATCAAACCTCAAGTCGTGACTTGATGAGTCCCTAAAGATTTTAGTAGATAATTTTCTTGAGCAAAGAATAATAAGTCTGATTGTCCTTCAAAAATATTTAAAAGATCATAAAAGTGTTTTTGGGAGAAATTTCTAACATCCTTTAAATCCTTTTGAAATGTTTTAAGTTCATTTGGACCTATTATGTTGTTCAATTAATCATCCCAAATTTTAAATTTAGTTTCAAATGAATTAATACATTCTATGCTCAGTGAACCTGATATTTTAATTATCTCATGAGAAGGGTACTCATTAATCAATTGATGTTTCATTTAAGAGTTATGTGAATGGGTGCCCTTAGAACAAACTTAAGCCATTGAATACCTTGTGCCCACCGCTAAAACTGGGCTTGTAGTGTTTAGAGGTGTTAATCAATCATGTCTTTCTTTTCTAAATCTTATTAAACAAGTTCAAATATCAAGCCTATCTCGCTACTAAACCCTTAACAATTTCATGAGTAGATTTGCAATTTTCAAAATATTAATTTGATTGGAACATATTCCTATCAAAAGATCTATCATCTAATCACCAATTAGGGGCTTCAATTGAGTAAATTATTATCTTCCCATCTTAAGCCCACTACCTTAGTATCATCCTACAAAATTAACTTCTAAGTCTTAATAATTAACAAAATTACAATTCTACCCTTATTATGAAAAGGTGACATATTAGTTTCTACCTTTAACCCCTTGTGTTTCAAACATCCAAAAGAGTTCAATATGATCAAAATTACTCACTTATTCATTGGTTGATCCTAAATTTTAATTAAGGCATCAAAAATCCAAAATTATCATTTTTCCCATAGGGCTCCCCACTTCATAATTCATCAAATATAACTC